AAAAAGAAATGCGGAGGGGGGGGGGGGCCTCCAAACTGATCTTGCGTTTCACAAGATTCATTTTCAGCCCATAGTTTATCTCATTTTAGGAACTTCTATCCTTTCTAGATCTAACTCATTAAACTTGATTTTTTTAAATCAACTTCATCCCCATTATTTATCCTGTTTGCTCCTTCTTCCTTTTTTTCCCTTTTCATTAGGCCTTCATAAGCAAAGCATACATCCATCACATACAGCTACAAAGAGCATGCTGCATGCTTTTCACTTGTGATAATGGTTGTAGACAACCATGCACAAAAATTATCACTTATGCTGATGTATTTCATCTTAACTACAAATCCTACATCATTTATTTGCCAAATACCAAACCAAATTAATTTTATATCACTTATGAAACTAATGAGACTTGGTTTTCCACAGATGTGTATTTTGGTACTTAAAAGCATTGGTCCCCCACCTTTCTTCATAATGTTTCCTATGATATTGCTACATACAAAGCAAGGATATGTCATAGGGATGGTCTGGAGTTATGCACAGGTTGATTTGCTAGACAGTGTACAGGTGTATGAACTTCCTAGATTACTGCTGCCAGTATCTGAAATGTATGAGCTCTGTGTAGCCTTCCCTCAGAACAGTGGTAGTCACTATAGGGTAACTATTTAGTTTTAAGAACTGAATTATCTAGATACCTCTATTTTTTGGCCCCATATGGTTTACACAGACCAAACGTAACTTGCAGGAAGGTTAGCAGATACACGGATGCACAAAAAAAATTAATTATAAAGCCTCACTTCCCTGGGTAATTGAGCTAGAAGTAGTGTTGTATGAGGGGCAAATTAAACTAAATTTAGGGTAATAAGAAAGAAATACACGTCACAACTAAACAATATATAAGGAAGAATTATAACAATAGCTGAGCTGAATGACGTATTCTTACAATTTCCCAGTTGAACCTCAAATCAAGGAATATTTTTTGTAAAGTCAGATAATTTTATTTGTATTTTTTTAAATTAAGAAATATATTTTGACAAACATATAATGCAACATTTTAGGTCTATTATAATAAATGCAGCTGCATTCAACCTAACATCTGAGCACCTTTTTTCTCTCAAGATATCTTTCCAACAATCTCTTCCTCTATTAATTTCTGCATATTCATGAAGCTAAATATAAACACAAATATCAAAAATAAAGGAGCACTTTTTCTTCTTACCGCTCTACATAGATACTCTTGCTGGTTCCCAGAGCATATAAACTGGCCAATATTCTGTAACAGGAAACCTGAACATCTTCCACTAAAGAGAAGAAAATAATAGGTATAAAGAGATTTTTTTCTTTGCAATACATTTCTGTAGAATTAAAATACATTTCTTTTGACAATAACTGAATTAATAGTATTAAGCCATCAAAGGCAACACACGGACATCACTCGCTAAATACAAAAAGTCTTCTGACCACTGAGTGCCATAGCTTTTACTCAAAACTTCCACTTACTTCAATACCAAGTTACCAGCTAAGACAGTAAACATATTTCATTAGTGCACTGACTTTCTGAAATTAATGGCATACCAACTCTTTACAGATAATATCTAATTCCTTAATCTGAGAATTTATTTAATAGCTATTTAACAGCTATAAAAAATGTGTCAGTGAATCTTTTCTAGTTTGTCTGTAGCACTTAAGAAAGTTTCATGGCAAATCAAACAAAGTGCTGAAAGTAAAAAAAAAAATAAAAATTTATTTACAAATGTAACAACACTGTTACAAAAGAAAGTCAATTCACATTACAAAAGAAAGTCAATTCTTTTAAATAGATATTTAATTCTTTTAATCACAGTTTATATTTTTTAAAATTTAGACACAGGTACCAGTTAATAACATGTATTTAATTTACACTTCAGACTAACAAAGGATTTAAAAAAAAAATAATCCTTTAGTCCTTACGAATATTTCACCAAAGCATGTTTTGAAATTATCAAATGTTTCATTCACAAAAATGTAAGAATAATCTTAATATCTATTTGAAAAAATGCTTTTCCAATGTAATCTGCAGTGACAGTGTAATAATAGTGTCAGTACCATCAAGGACAACACTCCCATTCTTTCCATATATATTTTTTTCCAGTCTCTCCCACAGCACTAATATCTTCCCCCAATATGCAGTGAAAAGTTGGGAGTAAAACAGAACTAAGACTTAATGGTCTGGGAGAGCCTACAAGTGCATCAAAGCTACATAGCCTGGCTCTTTACTATACCATGATTTTAGTTCGGATCATCTTGGGGTTGAATATGTTTATGTAATAAGAGTAACCTCAGGTACACTGACACACCTTTGTACATGATCACACCATGGAGTACTCTGTACACACAGCAATACTTTCAGGCACAAGCACCAGGTCAAGATGCTTGTCATCATAGTACAAAATAGGTAATCTTATTAACAAGATGTAAAGAGAAGTTGTGTGCAAGAAAAATTAGCCTTTCCAACTATGCTCTAGTCAAAATGAGTAGGCAAAATTCAAATTAACTATTATTTCTCAGTTCATGAATTCTAAATCGGGGGTTTGACACCCGTGTGATGTATGTACAATAGCTGATTAAGAATACCAACTTAAGTAGTAAAGTATCAAAGGCTAACTACTAAGTTCCAAATGGAATACCAGAGATCAAAAATGATACAAGGTATGAACACGTTGATGCCTGAAAAAGTGGTTTATGATGAACAAGTGATGTATGTCAACCCCACAGGTGACTTTTTCTGCATACTGTCACACACTCTTGAATTTTACAGGAATAATTTAATGAGAAAAGTGGATGTTTACATCTCACCACATTCAAATCCATCAACACATCTCCAGATTTTCAAAACCAGTTCTCTTACTGCTATTGTAAATAATAGTTTTCCAGATTCTAAAAAGAGAAAAGCTGTAATTTGACATTCTTTTCTTCTAGGTCCTTCTCTCAGTTATTTCCATAACTGAGTTAGCAATACAGAGCAGAATTGCCTCCTTTAGTGCAGTCTGGACACAGAATTACTAAAATATATAAAATTAGTTACGCGTTACAGACTGTAAAATTTTGTCTTGCAGAGACTGGGTTTGGGGAAATAAAGGACACTGAATCTGCCATAATGAGAATCTCAAGAGAAATCTCATATACAGAGTCTTATACGCATTCCCTTCTCCAGTGCCTGAATTCCTCAGGAGCTCCTCCCAATTTTCTTAAGGATCTAAGGTGCATCCACCCAAATTCCCCACTGGCTGAAAGTGAGTCAAGGTGCACATAGGACAGAATAACATCATTCTCGTAGTATAACCTCATTTATAGACAGAGCAAAGACAAATTAACTCATACAAGTAACCTTTCCACACAAGAAGAAAGTCACAGTAAATCTATGGTAAATGAAGCCTTCTGACTGTCTAATCACAGCCACATCTGCTTTAATATTTACACGAAGTGCACTATAACCTGCAGACTGTTCTAGGTCGATTACAGCAACGTTTGATTAAATCAATGACAATTTTGTCAAAATGACAGAGGATTTGTCCTTCTCTAATAGAACTGAGATTCTAGGAATGCTTACTACGTGACACTACAGATATGTTTAGTGGCATGGCACTTGTAAATAATACATACATATCAAGTCTTCCCCAAACTGGTGCTGTCCAATGTGCTCAAATAATGAAGATAGCACTGGCAGGAGAGCAACTGTGGTATAATTAATGATTTGTGTAACTCCCTTTGGCTGGTTTCTGCTGTGTGTAAATTGGCCTTGCTTAAGATTTTCCATTGTTTTCTCCAGATCCTCAGCAGCATTGTCCAAAAATGCTCTCAATGCCATCTTAACAGATTCCAGACCAGTTTTCATCACAGTCCTGTATATAGCATGCAAAAAGAACGAAAAAGAATATTCTAACAGACAAGCATGGAATAAAGCCTAATCTTGGCTTATATGAAATAGATAATAAAGATCTGAAGAAAAATCTTTCATCTTTTGATACTGTAAAATCTTCTCACAGCACAACCACCTACTGAAAAAGTGTTTGATAGGTATCCTGCAGAACACAAGGACATTTTATCTGGTGTCCCATTGAGAAAATAAAGTCTTTTTAAATTTATAAATTAAGTGATTCATTTGCCTTCAGAGGGAAAAAAACCCACGTAACAAAAAAGAAGAATGAGTAAGTCTGCAATTTATGACTCTAGGAAGAGAAGAACTATCTCAAGCTACAACTCAGAAAGTCTTCCCAACTATGACAGTCATATTTCTGCCTCCAGAATAAGGGCACCAGAAAGGAATGAGTAAACCCAACCAAACCTGTTTAAAATTAATTAAAGGCACTTATTACCTAACTATAACACCATAATCAGTTATGTAATGTTATAATCCAGGAGAATTATTACTTTATTTGTTTTAACTAGCTCAATTTCAGAGAACCTTTGTTTAAGGCAAGTATCCATTTAGGCATGTGTGAAATAAAACTGGGTGAAATTCTTTTGTAAATTGAATAATAGTCCAGGTTTTTTGTTTCTTCGCTTGTTTAACAGAATGAATACATACAGTTTCAATGGCAATATTTTCAAACTTTCAAATAACCTCCATGAATCCCTTAATCCTCGTCTAGAGCTATTTTTACTTCTCTACCAAGAGCTGAATTGGTGACCTCCACCTGTATCTGTTTCAATCTGTATGATTGCATAGAGCATGGACAATTTATGACAAAAAAACCCCAAGATATCGCAACCTAAAGGATTATCATGCAACAGCTGAGTCATATCAATCAACCATGATCATGACTCTACCCCATAGCAAATGGAAAGTAAAATTTGTTCATTTAAGCCACTGTGAAGATACTGAGAAAGAGCTACCTGCATGTAATCCAGTCAATCATTTGAGAGTAAATGCAAAGTGAAAAAATTACCATGGAGGTAGTTTAAACCATCATGTGTTGTTTCACAACTGCAAAGATCTAAAAGTCAACTATCAGCACAGATAGTTGACTGTACAGTTAATGAAAAGCAACATATTATCCTACAATATTTCAAGACTGTCTCATCCATAAACCTCACAATGGTTCAAAAGCAGCTCAATTTAACTTAAAAGTACCACTAAATTCAATGTAAAGGGTGGTTTTTGTCAAATTAGAGCATGAATTAACTTTGCAACGAAGGCACTCTATGACACAGATTTACTGCATTTCATGTGCATTTAACTCCTGGATATTTTTATTAAACAAAAAGTGTAAGCAAAATAATAAAATATTTCTAATGTTACTGTGGTTTTGGGATGGTCAAATGATTAAAACCAGATGAACTAACAGACAGCAGTTCCTGGATGTCATTGATCCAAACTGAAGTTGAAAGTGTAATCTACAAATATTTTCCTGCCAACCCCTAGTAATTAACAAGTAACTAACCTACTTTGCAATGGGAATTCTTTTCAGTACTATAACTTCTTGAGTTTTGAAATTCTGTAGCCTTACACAGGTAGTCCAAATCTGACTGCACATTATTTTCTTAAGTGATTTTCTTTGTACTTTAGAAAATACATTTGGTATTACCTCGCATCCAAGGTCTGGCCCAGTATGTGAAGACAGTTGACTATTGATGTTGCATCATTTCCTAAACAGGGAGGAAAATTATCCACCAATTAAGCTGAGCATACTGTATAGCATACCTACACACTGCTAACTGTATATCTGGTTTTAATGAAAGAGTAAATGACAGCAGAAGAGCAATTGACCTTCTGCATAATTTTGACATTCAAGTTAAAAAACATGCAGTTTGTTGTTTTAGCCTTGTTTACACAAATGCAGTAACTAAAGGCAGTAAAGCATCTCTCATCAAATAGCTGAGGCAGTCAAGATGGAAGCACTTAAATGTGGGGTTAATTAGAGCTGCAGTGTATTGTCTGGTTTTCATTTAAGTTCTATAAATTTTGCTTTAATTGATTCAAGTTTATCTGAACATTTATCTTCCCCATAACATTTATCTTCCCCGTCTCAGTAACATAAAAGCTGTTAACTTTCGCAAGCTGCTATTGCAGGAAGAGAACATTCACATAAAATGTCACCAAAAAGGTTAGCTCCCTGGTGTTACCAATAGGCTGCAGCCATTTATAGCAGGATCAGGTGTGGCCCACATGAGTAACAGTCTCTGACATAATATGCATTTCCCATAATCGATTATTTTCTTCACACTTATGTTTGTAAAAGGAGAACTTACACACAACATGCTTTGTATGCATATGTACATCCCAAGATGTTGCCAAGTACAAGCGAGCTCTAAGTTCACTTTTTAAATCCAGGACAGATTTAGGCTACACAAATTTGACCTATAGCTTATTTAATTATTTTTTTTTTACATCTAAATCTCTGAAAAAACAAAAATATGTTTTCTTGCTTCTCTATATGTTTAAAGTTTCTCAAAAAAAAAAAAAAAAAAGAAGAAGAAACAAATGGAATGCTTAAGATAAGATAGATTTCTGAAAATACCGTCATCTGCATACAGTGTACTATACTTTCTCATTGGTTATTTCACTTGAAAATATAGGCAAACATACAACTAAAATTAGTAACTGTTTCAGTGAAATAGAGATTTTAAAAGATAAATTGCTAAGGAGGAGCGGGAGATTTATTGCAGCACAGAGAATGTTGTTCTATGCTATCAAATTAGAAGGTATTCTTGTGGCCTTCATCCACAATAGATTAAACAAACCTGAACCACGGCTTCCATGGCTGCCCCTAGCCAGGCAGCCTCACCCCCTTTGCACTGGCACTGGTGGTCATGCAATGACACAGCGAGCAGATGAGAAAGCTGAGGTGGCCCCAAAAAAACCTACCAAAAAACCCACCCCAAAAGACTAAGGTTTTTGTCAGCCCCTATTTTTTTTCTTACTATTTTACTCTGCTGATATGAATGCCAGTGCTGATGAAGAAGGGAGTGCAGGACTGTGCTAATGGCAGCAGGGATGGATGCAACCTGGACTTAGACTGTGGATTAGACTGTCATGAAATAGTATCTTAACATTCTTTGTGCAGGTGCATATATGCTGCATGCTACATTGCAGTATAGAGATGCTCACTCCAGTTCCCTGAAAATTTACATTGGCACTCTATTTATACCGTGTAGACACATTTCAAGAGCCATGTATTTATCAGGAATCAGGTACTTCATATGCTGCAACCAGATGGAAGGGTCAGAAATTCATCTGGTTATTCTGAAAACCAGACAAGCTTTAGGCATATTCCTGTAGCAGATACTGCAGTGTGGTTGGTTCCAGAATGGGATATCAGAGCAGAATTCAATCACCATGAGAAATGGAGCCCCCTTCAATCTAAACTGATTGACATACCAGAGTTTGGCCAGTTTTATCCATCTAACACTAAAACCAAACTTTCAAAGTTATCACGAAACTTGTTTTCTGCAATGTGTCCTTCAAGCAGGATTTGTTACAGAATCTTAGAAAAATGCAATTCGCTATGAAAGACAAGTTTAGGCTCAGTGGAAATTCTGTGTCTTGCTTTTGTTCAATATGTCATGAATTTAGTCGCTTTTACTGTGTTTCTAAAACAAAAATCCACAGAGTATTTTTTAATATTCTACCTTAAAATGGCACAGTTAAAACTAAAAAAAAAACAAAACCCAAAAACCAAACCAAAAAAACACCACAAAAAACCCAACCAAAAAACCCCAAACCAAACAAACAAAAAACCCAAAAAACCCCACTTTTAAACTGAAGGTTTCAAGAATCAGATTGCTTCCAACATGAGATCAGAAGTCAACTTCAGAAGGCCATCTGTTGTTTTTTTTTTTTAAACTGAGTTATGAAACTAGTTTTATTACTATTGCCAATGTTTCGCAATGTATATATGTACCTTCATTAAACTAAAAAATATTCCTTTTCTATTAATTAAAAATGTTCTTGATTTTCAGAAGCCTGAAAACTCGATACAAAGCACTCTGATGTAGAAATGATTGTGCAATGTATAAAATTGCATTACCTCATGAAAGAGGAGAAGGTCATAAATACAATTCAATAGGATAAAAACTGAAATAAGAGCTATTCCTTAAAGGAACTCTTCACACAACTCAAAATGACGGAGGCTGGACATATGCAACTACTAACCCACATGAGTTCAAGAGATTTTAAGGCTACAAGTATCCCAGGAGCTAGTAAAAATATTAGGTTCATGGTTGGATCACCGTTCAGCATGTATTACAAATGCAGTTGATCCCATGAACTGCACAACTGAGTTTCTTTAATAATCTGAGGTGCAGCCCTAGTCCTACATATTTTAGAAAGCTGTATCATTATATCAGGAGGGAAGAACTGTTGCTGTATTGCAAAAGTGCTATGGATATTGATTCCGGATGCCTCACTGGAAGGACACTTATGAATTCAGGATGTGATTAGGCAGAGAAAGCCTTCTGTTTCTTTTTAGGAACTCCTCTGCATAATTTCTCTAAGTTACCAAAAAGAATGAGCAAAACCAGGCCTTTCTTATCTGATGTCTTACCCAACTAATTTGTGTTTCAGATTACATGGGTCTGTATTACCGATATGAAGATTTTTTAAAAAAATTCCTTACATACTTACATAGAAAGAATGCCTTACTGAAGATTTAAACAATATAAAAAGTGAATCAAACTAGTCATATAAATTTGTTTTTTTAAATTGAGAAAATATAAATTCACCAAAATTATACACTGAAAACCTTTCAAATTCAGCCCACTAACAATAATGAAAGTAAATCAATAGTGTCTTACTGATGCACAGCTACAGCTTTCAAATAGTAAATTATTGTGGTCAAAATCTACTTTCACAGTGCAAAGAAATAATAATTTCATGCTGAATTACAATTCCATAATCTCAGTGACACTCTTAGATATCAAATGCAACCAGTTGTTTAAGTTCACTCTGGAAGACTTGCATGCTTAATTTCCCATTTTATCAAGACTTATATATACAGCTTAAGCTACAGGACTTTTACCAATGACTTTCATACATGTAGCTGTATCTTCAGAAGTACCATTCAAATTCACAATAATAGAAAACATCTGTATAGCAAAACCATATAGCATTTTGCTATTATAGCAAACTCCCCACTACCCATAAAGATTATTATTGAGCAACTCTTGCTCATTCAAGACGACTTCAAAACGCACAGATAGATTTCTAGGCTCCAGCTGTACTCTGAGGCTGTCCTCATGAGCATTTTCCCCTCTTCTACACAGGACTTGTCTTTGCTGGAGTAAATGCAATTCTTTTGATCAGGTTTTCTAACATATTGTAATTCACTGTCAAGGTAAGGCAAACTGTAAGGTGCCTTTGACTTGAATTAGTAGGTCCACAGTAAATGACCGTGCTCCAGAGTCTTAATGGTGACCTTGTCATAACTCATGGAAAAACTACAGTACACTTCTGCGTTGGCATAAAGATTTTGTATTCTGTTAGTTACCGCACACTAGGAAAAGAGTTAAAAAACAAACTGTAGCCATAGTGAATACCCATCTGACTTATTTCCTTCTACCACTTGAACCCAGCCAAACAACAGGAAATAAGCAAGCTGAGATGTGGAATGGAAAATATCTTTCCTTTAGTACCGAAAAAAGTTACCCTGACTTAGGTTTTTAACTTCAATTGTTACTCATTTTAGAAAAAAAGTCAGAAAAACAAATTCACACAATAATGAAAAAGATTGCAAAATTATACCTGAGCTAGTTCATTGTTTGAAGAAACAACCTAGGGTTTAAACCAGAGCTTATGTGTATGCTTGTGACACAGTCCACCCTTCAGAAAAAGCTGCAACAATGCCACACAGCTGTAGAAATAACTCCATTCCTCCTATGATCTTTTGGCTTTACAGGCAAATCCACTCAGCTCATCTCAAAACATATTTAAAAGCGATATCCCAAAATAACTTCCGATCTTTCTTCTCAGTTTAATGGTTTTCATAATGGTCTGTAAGCTTTTTAAACACCACACTGCTGCAGCAAGTGAGTTCCTTCCCTTCAAATTGAATGAAATATGTAGGAATTGAGTTAGATGCATCTTATCTTAATGAAATTTTAATTCAGTAGCTAATCACCCAGTTAGGTAAGTTCATGGATGCTGAAGTTTGCAATGCATCCATCACAGAAACTATATATGCATAGGATGTACTATTTCAACTATCCTATCATTGTGGCGTAAGAAAAAATTGCAGAGTAAATGACTGTGCCACACATTGCATATAATATATACACTCGATACAGATGTCAAATTGACTTCAATTAAGTGATTTTCACATGGCATAAGACAAACACCGAGCTCCTGCTAGATTCACATAATATCAGAAAGATAGTACACATGCGTATGTGGAGTCAAGCACATCTGGGAATGTTTAAGAATTCCACAGAACATAACTAAGCATTTCAGCCCACTACAAATTTTCCTTAATGACTTTCCAATACAAATATACAGTTCTGATGTTCTGTTTTTCCCAAATAATTGAGAATAAAATAACAAATTAGGAATCATAATTAACTCAGTAAAATTCTTTGGTAGGATAATGAAATCCAGATATTAGTTAAGACACATGGAAAACTAAATAAAAACCCCCAAACTGGTAACTACAAAAGCTTTTTATTCCATCTAATAAATTCTGTGAGCTACAAGCCTAAATGATTAGTGGTCTGTGAAGACCATGCATTTCAGCCATGCAGCCATGCAGCATGCAACAAAGCAGCACATAACACAATGCAAAAATGGCAAAGAAAACCAAGTGATGGCCATGCTAGTATTTGTCAAGGGTCTCCTTACCAAACAGTGAAATCCTATGCCTGACAAGAACTCCAAGTTTGCAGAACAGGCTGAAGACAAAAGAAAAATAAAAGAGAAGAGAAGGGAAAAGGAAAAAAATGGGGGGGGGGAGGGGGAGAAAGAAAAAATAACAGCTGATATATGAGCAGGAAAAGCAACATGATGTCACGCAGAAAGAATCAATTATCTGAGCAGAATGTGGGACAGAGTACTAAAGAAAGAGTTTTTAAGTGCATATCCTTAACAAACATGGTTAAATAAGCACATATTGTAATTAAAGAAACAAAAAAAAAATTAAAAGCAAAGCTAATTAATATAAAAGCGTCCTATATGATAACCCACAAGGAAATAACCATTAAAGCTTTAAGAAGTGAAATGCAGTCAGTGTGCTATTCAGGATACCACTGACAGTTTGAAAACAAAAGGTAAGGAAATCAGATTAATTGAAGTGTTTGATGGCAAATATTTAACTAGTCCAATTTGGATCTTGTCATCTTAAACACAGTGAGAATGTCTTTTCATATACATTGCTTTTTAAACACACTTAACATGAGAAATAGCCTCTTACATGGTTAAAATGCAACAAAAATGGCTATGATCAATGATTTCATTTCACATGTTTGAATTACAACCTGTGCTGATGAGCAGTGCCCCATTCAGAACAATGAAGAATGAAGTTTTGTATTAATTTGTAGAAGCAGGAGCACACTGCCCTACCCAAACTGACCTGGCCTCCAGATTTAGGAGGGGTTAGCTCAATCTTCATGATCCAGTTCAGCCTGAGAATTTTCTCTGAGAGCAACATCAATTTTGGTGGTGTTTTTTATGCTGAAAAAACCCTCATCTGCTATAAATGACCTGAACAATATCATGTCATTTTATTAAGCTATTTAATTACTAGGCACACAGGCTAGTTATCAACCTCTGATTTAAAAGCAAAAGACACCATAAGCATGTCTGCACAGTCTATGGATGAGATCTGAACATGTTGTTCCATTGACAGACAAGAGCATGGTGCCAAATGGAAACATTTATGTCCAGAATCAGAACAGCCAGGTTAATGTGGTGTTGAATCGAGCTAATTAGCCAGTGCACAGTGATCCACTATAGCAACAGCAACTGCTCTGTCTTAGAAATGGGTCTGCTTGGTGCGTGTTCAGGGATCTCTGTTCACTTTTTATTCCACAAGGCAGACATATACTGTACAGACTATTATGAGGATCCTGGTTCACCCACTCCAACAGGAAAAGCTGTACAGAAGCATGTTAGCATCATATAAATCTTGTCTCCATTCTAACAAAGACATTAAATAGCTCACAACCTGTCTTATTTTCTAACACAGAAATGTTACTCGGACTGTAGCATTCAGCAGATGCTGTATTTTCACAAAGTCAAACTGAACCTATTATCCCCAGTGTAATTAGTTTAGGTTAAATTAATAAATAAATTAAAATGTCCAAACGGCCAGTACTTAAGATTGATGTCCAGAACTAATTTTATACAACTGCAGTAGTACAAGGACTTGTAAGATGGTCTAATGGATGAGAAATGCAAAAAGCCCAATACTGAAGAGACTGGTTACAAATAAGATGGAATATCATGCCACCATATTTCAGGAAGAGGTCTGACCCATATTTGCCCACAAAACAGATCTGGATTTAATGTATTTTCTGGACACAGAATGGTTATTGCACTTGTTAATACTGCCACTGCATTATCGATACCTAAAATTATACTCTTCCGTAGCCTAATGAATGCAAGCTTGTCTTCAGTGAAAAAAGAAAGCAACCAGTAACTATCCTTAGCTTGAAGAAAATCCTATGTACGAGTTGCACTCAAACAAACCTAAAGGGAAACTCAACAGAAAATCCAAAATTCAGCTTTGGCAAACTCCACACAATACGGTGGAGGAAAAACAACCAAAATAAAAACAAAACAAAAAACCCACAAAAAAATGTTGGGAATCTATTAAAATGGCCCAAAACAACCCTTCTGGAAATGGGTCGTATAATTTAGTTTCTATAATCTTTGCATCTTGATAATTAAGAAATAAACTGCTCAATAGCAGTGGTTATAGCTTCATCCAAGGTTTTCTTGCATGTGTTTTCTTCTCTTTGGCTGACACTTCTGGATGGCAGGTGACTCAATTAAGTATGGCAGCAGCTCTGATCCTTTTGCTGGGCTACGTGTTCAGGAATCTCACACAGCTTATGTGCAGAAGTCCCGAATCTATGCAGCACGTACGCTGATATATTCATGTTTGACATATTCCAGAAGTATGGGGTTTATTGGCATGACTTAACAACTCTAAAAATATTGTTATCCAGGACATTACAGATAGAAAAACAGCAGCTCACAGAGTGGAAAATTATCTAGATGCATGCATTTTGATAAGAGTTTTTTAATTCTTTGAAGAATGCCATTCAGCCAAGCTGCCCGATCAAATTAGTCCATGAGATGACACAGGGTCAAGACAGCCATTACTTATGTTTAGTATTGTTGCTAGAAACTTCACTCAATAGTCACATAATCTTGCAAACCCTGCATGTCTGTATGACCATCAACTGGCTGTCAGCCTCAAAGAACAGCAATTCAGTTTTACATGGTTCATATTACCCAATAACAGTCAAGGCGGCAACCATGATACCTGTACGTTACAGGTATGCAGTGGGTCCTGCGTGAAGCTTGTTGTCCACCATACTAAATGGGAAATATGGGTTTCAACTCAATCAGAAGAGAAATTAAATGACAACTTATCTTAGAGAGATGGTCTAAATAATGGATTACTTCAGAGAAAGGATCAAGTGGACATTTCTGTAATATTACTACCATTATTGCTTTTTAGAAAACCAAAGAGTAGAAGGAATGCAACTCTCTCATTTTTACTTTGTATGATGGACAGTAATAATGATATTTACTGAAACACAGTTGTAAATAAGTTTGGCTTTCAAATCTACCACAAAATTTTTCAGGAACAATGATTTCAGTGTATACCTAGTCCCAACAGTGAAAATTGATACACAATTGTATAGCCCATGCCACAGGCTGTGCCACTGATGTATTGTTGCATGTAATGCAAAATTTAAGTTCCCTGGATGCTAAAATCATCTCCACTACCTTTAAAACAGCATATAATCATAAGTCTGTACCAGTCTCCTCATTTTATACAATGAATTTTCCTAACAGGAAAAGAAAGTGAAAAAAGTCTAATTTGTGTGTTCATAAAAATACTTTTCTGCCTCCCACTTCTCACTTCCCCACAATCAGCTGCTGCTGTTTAAAGACAAACACACATATGCATACACATTAATATTATTTTAAGTCTTACCTTGTCACCATTTCTTTCTCTTTATTAGAGGCATGACCTCCACTGCTGAGAGGCCTACTTGCTGCAGATAAGAAATATAGGCGATGATTTTTAAAATACTGATCAATCAAAGGGAGCACAACCTGAAAGTACATCAGAAAGAAGTGGTTATCTCAGGGCCTTCTTCACCATGTTCTGTATTACTCTTTAAGTCACAACTAAAGACAGGAGATTTCAAATGTGTTTTCTGTTTTAAAGTTTCTATGTATTTTCTTTAATGTCTATTCCTCTTTGAATTTATTTAGTATTTAAGGACCTTAAAACATCATCAGGAAAGCAGCAGAAAAAAATTTACATTATCTCTGGGACTTGATCTGTGGTTTTTTTAGGTGGAGTACAAATCAGAAAGTATGATTTCATTTTATCTCACGATTTAGTATTTTTCCAGTACCACATACCCAGACACAACTATTGCTGTTCATGTCTTTTAATGTACATTTAAGAAAAATTCACCTACAACTGTCAGCGCACTAATGGCACTTAATTCTAGATGCTATCAAATAAAACTCCCAGAACATGCTCACTCATTAATGGCTTGTCCACAGATGTTTTCCTGTTCACTTCTTGTGGTGACCATTACTCAGTGCCCACTGCAGGTATCAGCCAGGAGGAGATCCAAAATAAACAGCCAATAAGAAAATCTGAAATTGCTTCCTTTGTGGAGCATGTTTTAAAAGAAGGTGGAATGCTCGCTTCTGAGTCAATGAACTTGGCAAATTGTACCCTATGGTAGTACTTTAAGGTACCAAGATTACAATTTACTGCAAGGATATCAGGGTTAGAAAATGCTGCAAACAGCTGCCTTTGCTTGTTCACTTTGAATATGCAAATGCCATACCAGCTTTTATATCTGAAAGGTGTAAGCAGATTTGCTTAATTTATAAGGTGCAAAACCTTCTTGACACAGAAAGGAGATTTGGGCTGTAGGAATCTCATAACTTTCAGCAAGGGGAAGTGCAAAGTCCTGCACCTGGGGAGGAACAACCCAGGTACAAGTACACACTGAGGGCTGACCAGATGAAAAGTGGCTTTGCAGAGAAGGACCGGGGGTCTCAGTGGACAGCAAACTGACCATGAGCCAACAACGCACCCTCACTGCAAACAGCATCCTGGGTTGCATTAGACACAGTGCTGTCAGCACTGTCCAGGGAGATGATTCTTCCTCTCTACGCGTCACTGGTGAAGCCACATCTGAAGTGCTGTGTCTGGTTCTGGGCACCCCAGTACAAAAGAAACATGGATGTAATGGAGAGAGAGTCCAAGGAAGAGCCACAAGGATGACAAAGGAACTAGAGGATCTTTTAAATGAGGAGTGATTGAGATGGGACTCTTTAGCCTGGAGAAAAGAAGGCTCAAGGAGGATGTCATCAATGTGTATAAATATCTGAAGGGAAGGTGTAAAGAAGGATCCAGGATCTTTTCAGTTCTGCACTGTGACAGGACCAGAGGCAACAGGCACAAACCGAAACACAGTAGGTTCCCTTGACCATCAGGAAACATTTTTTTACTGTGAGGATAACCGAACACTGGGCACAGGTTGCCCAGAGAGATTGCAGAGTCTCCACCCTTGGAGATATTCAAAAGCCATCTGGGCATGGTCCTGAGCAATATCTGCTATAGGTGACACTGCTTGAGCAGTGAAGTTGGACTAGATGAACTCCAGAAGGCCCTTCCAGCCTCAGCCATCCTGTAATTCCATGATGGAGACATCAGCGTGGTTTTAAAACAAGGAAAGAAATAAGGAAGGTGACACTGACAGACACATGGCTGCGTTAATTCCAATAACTATTGTTGACATTTATCTGCCTGAAGATTGTAAAAGAAAAATCTTCAGAATTAGACTAAGCCAGTAGACAGAAAATGTAGGGAGGTTATAAAAAACATCATATGAGTAGTTGCATATCATGGAGCAAGGAAATAATGAGAATAAGAATATGGTCCTGTAATTTTTTCACATCTATACTTCATCCTACAGTATTTTCCAGGTATTTTTATTCGTACTGTTTTTAATTAATAAAATAATGAATTTAACACAGAAAAGTGCAACTATAGTAACAATAATCACATTCATTAACAAATACTTTGTCACTTCAACTACTTACTATGTTGACAAAGAATAAGCAAAGATATACTGTACTTTGGCAAAAAACTTGATTTCTTGTTCATATGGGAAGTGCTCTCCTTTGCCTCTGCTGCCACCATCTGCAGAGAGAAGAAAATTAAGCTCCCTGTCATATATCCTAATTACAGTCTACTCTGCATTTGTCTTAGAAAGTGTACACTATACTGGTTGTCTTTAGGTGGAGATTTAAGATACCGCAAACAGTATACACACTAGTTAAAGTGGCATTTTATGACTACCTCATGAGAAGAAAAGTTATAGCAAATAAAATGTGTAAAGAATAATTGTCCAAATCTTCATAAAAGTGTAAACATCTCATAGTCCAAAGAGATACGGACTTTTTTGTGAGATGGAAGTCTGGTCCTATGTTTGTATTTTTCTAGTTATTGGTGACAATATGGAAGCCTGAACTCAGATTCTAATGGAACACCTCTCTCCAGTCATTCCCTGGAGAAACAGAATTACCAAATTTTCACTATTTATTTGTGGACTTTGTCTAAAGAACAAAATTAATGGTTAGAACTACCCAACTGAAATTAAAATTGCTTCACTTCCCCCATTACTATGAAAATCATTACAGACATAATCTGGTACAGCTCCCAGACTATTTATCCTTTATTTATTATAAAATTTATTATTTGTTCCACCAGTGTTTCTAGTGTTTTAGTATCTATTCATTATCATTCTTGCAGTTATGCCAAATCTATATAATTAAATAGAATGAAGCCATGATAATTAGGCATTAGCAGCAGAAGTAACCCAATGAGTTACCAAGGCCAGAATTTTGCTACTGTAAATAACCATGGCATATAATAATTCATAAATTTTATAGTTTCCACTTTAGAACTAGATAGGCTTTTAGATGAACGCTGATTTAGTCAATCTCCCTGCTGGTCCTGCCATTAGTACCATCAATTACAGCATCTATGCCTAGACATGAGGCACGGTACACGTCATGTGGCATTGCAATTCTCATGGTCACACAGAAGCTCCAACTGGCCAGGTTTTTTGCCTTTTACTGCTCATGGTCACCAAACTTTTATTTTATCATCTTTAACAAACGTAGATCAAGTTAAATCCTTTCCTTCATAGCACTGTTGACGAAACACATGCTGGGTGTTTGTGAAAGAACTGGCTAAAGAGGTTTCTCTACTCAACTTCCTCCTCAAAAGAAAATTTCAGTATGATACAAATGACTGGTTGCTCTGTGAAAAAGGGAATACATGTGAATAATAAATATTAATGTGCATATGTGAGAGATTATCAATTTGTGCATAAATACAAGGGGGCAGCTAGTATTCTTTTTCAAAGAATGAAAGTCATTATAAATTTTGGCTGAACACTGAAATGAATATGGGAAACTGGAACGAATATGTGAACTACATAACTTTCCAAAATTCATCATCTTCATCAACTATAGGAAACTAGAGGGAAAACTCCTAGTCCAAGAATGTGTCATTTTTTTAAAAATTTCTAGTTGGTTTTGTAATATCAAACATGTTAGTCAATAATTCTTAAGAAAATGCACAAGGAGTACTATACCAAACTCCAGAATATACTGATGGGCTTCATCCACATATCTTATAAGTTGCTGAAGGAAACTGTAGGCAAAGCGTTTCTCAATGGAAGGTGTGTCTAATTCCAGGTCCTTAAGTCCTCTGTAAAAAGAATCAAATCAATTTTCACACATGCAGAAGGACTCAAAGCAGTCTTACCACTCCATGTAGTCCAATGCCATTTTCTCTAGTAATGATTAACCGCTTATTAACATAAAAATTGTTCTGTGTTTGAAGAAAACAAAACCTCTTTAGGTTCTGAGCAATTTTTTAAGATACAGTTCAGATTTCCCAAGTAGAAGGCTACAGAAAAATGAGACTAGTCAATCAGATTAATCCAGTATCACTGTAATTTCTTTCCCATACTCGTAAGGCATTACTGTCTTACATTTCCCTCCAGGGATTGATTCTTGGGTGAGGGAGTTTTGAAACTGCCAAAATACTTTGCGTTAAACAATCAAACCAGAAATAAATCTAGTCTCCTTCATCATGACTTTTCCCCAAAAGTCTATTTGTAATGGAAAAACTTTGAAGAGCTATGTAGCATTTGTGAAAAATCAGGGGAACAAAACAAAGTGATGGAATTCCAGTTTACCTTTTCCAGTAGCAACTGGAGTCAGACTTGGGGTGAAGGTACTCCCAGGCCTGTGGTGCCAGCAACTGGAGTGAATGAGGGGGTCTCAGCATCAGTAGATGGAGAGGCCATAGGTTTTGGGACTGTCTCTACGGGTCCTACAGACTTTGAGCCCAGAGTGCCAACTACTGCAGGGGGCTGGCATGAGTGGATTTGGTGCTAGCAATTGGAGTCAGACAGTGGGGGGAGGTAAGGCACCCCGGTCTGTGGTGCCTGCCACTGGAGCAAGTGGGAGTCCCAGCTGCCACCCACCGCAGTGGGAACGCTGCAGGTCCCAAAAACAGCTAGTGGGAGGGGGACAGTGTCGGTAAGGCAAGTGAGGGGCTCAGTGCCAGCAGCTGGAGTGGGCCATGTGCCTGAGTGCCATGTGCTTGGCAGGGGGCAAGTGTTTGTATCTTCCCTAAACCCAGTCTGCCTGAGGGTACGCTAGACTAGAATGGTCACTGTCAAATAAAAGACTGGAAAAAATGTGGCAGAAAGTCAAGTGGCGAGCAGACCAAAGAAAAACATGAATCAGATGCTTGTTTGTTTAGACAGCGCAGTGGTCATTGGAGCAGCAAGTACATTGCGTTTGACTTGATAGAAAGACCTGCATTTGACTAGCACGGGAGGATGTAGATGCAGCAGGAACTATTTACTAGATGGTGGGTGTGGCCAGGTTAACAATTCTCTTACCATCCATCTTAGCCTTCCACTCCTCCAAAAGCCACTTTTCACTTGTGTTTAGGTTAGGCAAATAAAAAGGATTAGTCAAAAAGGAATGCATAACCTTGAATACAGCTGAGGAATCTTTTGTCATTTTGACAGGGGATGAGAAAAGAAACCTTTGCTGACTGATGTTCTTCTTTGTACACCCTACTCCATTGAAGGGAAGTAAATTGAATTATTCCAGCTACCCTGAAAGATTTTACCTATGCGATATAAAAGAAAGGAAGTAGGCAGATTTTAAGTAGAAATGCTAGGCTAATTAATTCACAATGATTACTTAAATCCATCTCTGTGATTGCTTCATTCACTTAGTAATGTTCAAGACATGCAAACCTCAGATATGCTTTCAGCCTTTCCCAGTGACTCACATTTCATAAGCCACACTGATGAGGCAGACAAGCCTCCAATTTAATTAAAATTTTATTCACGCTGCATTTATGTCCCGGTTCCAGCCGAAATAGAGTTAATTTTCTTCCTAATAGCTGGTATAGTGCTGTGGTTTGGATTTAGGATGAGAATAATGTTGATAACACACTGATGGTTTTAGTTGTTGCTAGGTAGTTGTATCATCTACACTAAGTCAAGGATTTTTCATCTTCTCACACCCTGCCAGGTGCACCAGAAGCTGGGAGAGCACAGCCAGGACAGCTGGCCCAGGCTGGCCAAAGGGACATTCCCTGCCATGGAGCATCATGCTCTGGATATAACTGGGGAAGCTAGCCGGGAGGTGGGATCACTGCTCAGAAACAGCCTAGGCATTGCACAGGTTTGTTTTTTTCCCTTCTGCATGTGGTAAGCAATTGCATTTGTGCATCACTTGTTACTGTTACTATTACTGTTATTATTATTATTATTCTCTTCCTTTGTTATCCTGTTAAACTGTCTTTATCACAACCCACGAGGGGTGAGCAAGCAGCTGCCTGGTACTTAGTTACCAGCTGGGGTTAAACCACAACAATTCAATAGGAAAATATGTCATATTAAACCAATAGGAATTATGCATGTTATTCTGCAGAGAATAGCATGCATACATACTGAATAATTAATGCTCTGTTGATTACTATATTTATTCACTATTATTACATTTAAACTGGGGATTGCTTAAAAAAAACTTTTAAAAAACATCACTTTTCAGGTTTAAAATATTTTAATAATGCTACAAATTAACTCAGTTGAAAGAAACGAGTAGTAGATCTTAGAAATAAAATTGTCTTATCAAAGCAATTGCCTGGAAATTCTTATAGAGAGGTGCATGTGCCTGACCTGTAATGAAGACTCAATAATTCTATCACTTGTAGAAAATTATGAAGTTTACTAACAGTTGGATGTATGGAGACACATCAGAAAGAAAAAGCATGTTGCAATGTTTAGAGGAGAGCCAGAAGACACACAGAGATTCTGGAGAACTCTGCTTGTGCCTTCCAAAAACCCTGCTACTAACTCTGTAATCCATTTCTTCCTTATAGTGTTCTATATGAAGGAGCTCATCCTTACTCTCAGGTACCGAAACCTAAAAATGACCATAGATTTTTCTTATAATAATAATAATAAGCTACTGAGGAGTATTAGAAACCTTCTATGACACTAATACTGAACAGAGAATTACCTGGAGACAACATATCCATTAATCTGTAGAAATTTCAGAATATCCTGTGCTTTTTCTCTGTCCTTGGCTTTTTCTTTGGCTGTGAGGGTATCATAAGGAACAAGAAGAGGATGGTTGCCTCCTCCTACTAAGGGACATCAAGAGATTTAAAAAGCAGTTAAAGAGTTATCTGTTGACATAAGTCCCTGTACATAAAAGCACTATCATAATAATACATAGCAAATTACAGTAAAAACCAGTCTGAAATAACAACAATATACATTTCTGTTTCTTTACACAAACCTAAAAAAAATATTCAGATAGAAACTTAACATGTGGCTGCAAATGTAGTTGTAACATAATCAGTTGCTGCAAGTACCAGGTAAATATGTTGAACCTACCGCAAAAACTCTTAAAGAAGAAAAAATGTGCTTGACTGTTATGAACATATATTATATTTACAACTTCATTTAATGAAACTGAAAATATTTCAATAAATAACACATAATTTCATTAGAAAGATAGAAACACATATATAAGCATATACAGTCCTGCTTTTAAACATTCTGATGACAGTAAAAAGGGTTCACGAAGCTTAGCAAGATATACACATTTCTAAAAACATATGAAAGTGATACAGCTCTACTTTATAGTAATAAATTAAAGACAGACTATTAAAGTACATTATTCAAATGTTCGTCAGACAACTGTCCAATCTGATAAAAAGAATACTGCCAAAACAGAGAGGTAAACAGAATAAACTGCATTTGTATTGTTTACAAATAGCTGATGTATCGATACCTCTCTGAATGTAGATAGTTAATTTGGCAGAAAAATAAAATTGCTATTGCTAATATAAATATCTGCATAAAAAGTAACACTGTCAGGATTTCGTCTTCTGAAATCACCATCATATAGCGGAATACCATAAATTCCTAAGATAATTGATATGAAATCCCAGGAAATTTAAGGGTAATAATCAGATTTATCTCAGAAAAAATACTGCAGAAAGTCTCTAGTAATAATACTAAAAAAAAAAGGAATAAATTCCCTCTAGCAAGTATTGGAGACATACCCTTAAGTGATTTTGTAAGCCACATATTCTAAAATTTTCCATTAGTCCTGCCTGAATCCATTTAAATACATGCAAAATAGTAATCTAGTGGGCAAGTCTGAGGTTTTGGGGTTTTTTTAGGAAGTACTGCCTTTAACATTGGATGATTGGGTTTTATTCTGTTATCACAAATGTGATCTAATTCTATCTTATTACAGCTGCAGACAGACACGCAAAAAAGCATACAAGGATAGTAAGCATACATACCCTATCTATGGATATCATTAATACTATAATAGATCATTTAATTACAATTAATACACATGAAATGTTCAGTGAACGGGAATGACACTTGCAATTTTCAGGTGGCTAACGTACTTGTGTGTTAAAAGCCGTAAAGGAAAAATAGGAGTATTCTGTATCTGAAGTCTGCATTACTGTTCTGTTCTTTACACATGTATTAAAAAATATTTCAGGACTAGCATATGTATATTCTGGAGGAGAAACCCCACACTCTTGAGGGCCAGGTTTTGCTCAGCTGACAAATACATCCACTTTTCACACAAAGAAACTCTCCATCAGAAGCCTCTCCTTCACTCACTACAGCCACCTCTAGCCTCCGCAGTACTATGCTGCCTTGCACAACACTACAAATACTATGCAGGGTTCTCACTGAAGTGCTGCTCTGAGGCGAAAATCTGTTTTCACAATTGCCAAATACAGTAGATCCATTTAAATATCTAGTCTTCCTGTAGCCTACGATTTCCCAGACTTAGCCCATCGTGTGGCTACTTATCCCGAAGAAAGTTTTTTTTAAAAAGGCTATAAAAACTAAAATAAAAGCTGTATTAAGGGGAAATATAATTAAAGGCATGGAAATTCATAGTGTTTTATCAAAGGCATTTCCAGGTGGAACTTTACTTTTTCATAAAACCTTAACTACTGTACCTTTGCTGGAAGCTTACAACTAATAAAAAAGCAAGCATGCAATAAAAAAAAAAAATAAAAAAAAAATTTAAAAAAAAAAAAGGCCAAGTTTGGTGTATACAATTAGACTTGACACCTTCTGGTAAGACAAAACCCTAGCTTCAGTCATTTGCAAATGAGAACTTGCTGTTTCTCCAAATATTGTTTCCTCCATATGCAAATATAACATTATGTGCAGTTCTTAGTAAACACCCTTTTAGATCTACCTGCAACAAAAGAAGTAATTCAAATGAAATCAGAGGCCACTGGGCAACAGTCTGAAAGACTAATGCTAGAAGGAAAATGTATTAAATTTATTTACAAGCTTTGACTTCTCTTCCTTTGATATATTTGAATTGGTAAATTATTTTAACAGGAACTGTTACACTCAGTACTATAAAAACCTCCAGGCACTAAAAATGACAAAATACTTAATTTAGAATAGATTGCTGTTGTTTCTTTGTCAATTTAAATTTGCTTTTCTTTTTTTTTTTTTTCTGTTTTCTCAAATACATGACCTAAGCTAATCATAGAGAACTTAAAATACTGTAAATACCTATAGTTAATATTACCTTTTGCTTCAAGCTCCATTTTCTTTTTCTTTGCCCATATGTTATGGTAGTTTTCAGCCATCATCTCAGCCATAGCCTAAGGAAAATGGAGAACTTAGTGGTATGTGTTGCAATGGTTAATCCACAGATAGCAATTTTCTGGTTGCTACTAAATAACAAATGTTGCTCTCTGGGAGGCTCAGTATAATTACACTGTAATGGTTCACTGAACACAAGAGTTTTTATTGAAAAATTATGATATAGAATATGGACAGGATAGGTATATGTATAGGAATTAGGAACCTGGTGCTGAAAACTGTTAATATGAAAAAGGAGGAACCACAAACAGGAGTGTAGTCTGGAAAGAGACCTGGGGTGTCAGATGGGGACTTGATTCTCAAAACAATGCCAGGAAGAACCCCCTGAAGGCCCTGGTAAGGGAAACAAGGAACAGCAAGCCAGAGGACTGAATCAAGATTGTTCCTGCTGGCTGCAGCAGACTGTGTAAACCCACAGATATAACCTGATCGAGGTGGACACTCATTTGTGTGAGCACTCTGTTAAAAGCACCAACCATTTTACCAGGGACTTCATAGATGCAGCCACATTTTTATATTCAGCATGAAATTCTCCTCCAGAGAAGCAAATTCTATAAACCAAACTCTTTCAGACTGGTAAGCTAGAACTCAAACTAAGCAAAACACAGACAAGCTCGCCAATCTCTAGTAGGAACTAGTAGCAGCTACTATTTCAACATCAAACATCTTTTAAACCCACGTCTCCTGTCCTCCTGATTGTATACTCTCTAGTTGTACACAGTGGTGGAATTTTCTGTAGATTTCACTTTTAATTTCTTTCATGGACCTACAGAAACATCCTTCTCATCTTCAGTAAGGGTTTTGAGTAACAACTATTTCTGAATACTCGGTCCTGGTGTTTTGATAATCCAGATTAAGATCTTGGAATAATGCAGTGTAGTCTGGATTCTCTTTCCTTGGAAAGCAGGGTGCTATGAAGATGGTCTCAGTGCAAGATCTAGCTACTCACGGACCCAGGATGTGACCGCTTAAGACCAAAATGAGAAGTATTTCCCAGACTTACAGTTTTGAACATGGTCATGATCCCTGCTAGCACAGTATATGCACAGGATGATATAAGCATTGAATAGCACCAATTCTTATATACTAGTTAAAACAAACAAACAAACAAACAAACAAAACAAACCCAAACAACCAACTTGGTTCAAAACAACTAACTTTTCCCAGCAATTTAAAACAAGGTTGAAGACTAACCCTGAACTCTGACTTTAAAGATATTAAACATTAAAACAAAGTTCAAAATAACATACATTTAATTTTTAAAACTGAGGTCATTAACACCTAACATGTTTAGATATTTCCTGACTGCCAGTATCAGGACAATTAATACCTGAAATTGCATTTTAATTAAAATTGCTTAGCTTTTCAATAACAGATTTTGAAGCTGGTTTCAAAGAAGACTTCTCTTTGTAATTAAGGACAAATGAATCATAAAGCCAACCAGCTCTGCTTTATATCTGAGGGCTACAAAGGAAATAAAATGAATGACAAATGTTAGATAGTATAACATAAAAGAGTAAACAAGGGAGTAATAGAAGTTTGAAGACCATTTCTTTTGCGGTTTGTGACAGGATAGTTACTTTTCACTGGGTTTAGTTTACTGCATCATAATACTATGATGGTGTTCACATCAAAAGTTGTTTCACGAGCATTAAAACAAAGTCGGCACAATCTTTTGACTATGCTGAGTCTATACAAATGTTAAATGATGTAATTATAATGAAGCTGTTCCATCAGTTTAAGATACAAGTAGTATTATGTAATTATCAATTTTATTAACTCTTTGGAATGATCAGCAATCTACTGAATGTTTTAACTCAAGTATAATAGTTAATTGGCAGCAAATTCTTATTGTAAAGCTAGTCAGCAATCTACAATGGTTAGAAATTTAAAACTTGAAACTATGAGATAGGAATCAAGGAGGGGAAATACAGTGTGAGAATTTAATCAGAGGCACAGTTAGCCAATTACTTTACTACTGCTGTTTGTTTCACTGCACTATGACAGAGTTCAGTATGGGCTAACTTAACCCTGTGTTTCAGGGTAGAAGTAGACTGGTACAAACAGTCATGCTAACTAATTTAAAACTATCTAGTGTATTTCTACATAATATTGTAACCATATTCACAGTAAATTAGTAGACTGTAAAAACTAGCACTATACTCCATCAAACACCACGAAAAAAATCCTAACTTCCTAAAGACAGAAACATCATTTGTTTATCAACTAAAAAATTATTGTTCCTAATAACAGCAATCTACTGATCCATCAAAATCTACCCTCAACAACTTCTTTCTCTATTCTCATAGTATTTGTTGTAGCCATGGTTCCTGATTCTTATTTCTTCAGTTTAGAAAAAAGACCAATGACAAAATGTTTTGGGAAGATGGTGAGGAAAGGAATGACAAATGAAAGAAAAAAGCTGATGCTGCAAGCTCTTCTAAAGAGGATTTTCTTCAAAATGACGGATGCTTGCAACACAGGATGAAAGAGCAATGATGAAAAAAACAAACGAACCAACCCAAATTAAAATCAAAGCATGTCAAAGAAAGTAACATAAGGCATCCAATTTGTTTAAAATAAACTAGCAGAAAAGAAAAAAATAAATTGTAAAAAAAAAGAAGGCATATTAAGTGTTTCTGACTTACGTGTAAGTCCCTGGAGAGGGTGACATTGCTCATGTCAATTGCTCGAGGAGTGTAACCATGGGCTGTATCTACAGAGATCTGAATCGCACACATGCAAAACAGTTTATTTATTTCTTTACACACTTAACAGCATCCATAGCCATCAAATTCTAAAAAATAGCAGACTAAAATCATATAAATACTCACTATTAATGCATGATCACCTACTGATGTAAATAATTCCACTAAATAATGTAGTTAACTTTAAAGCAAGTGAACAAATACATTCCTATTTCAGTTTTGTTGTGGGTTTGTGGTTTTTTTTTTTGGAACATGTTTATTAATATATTACTTTGGAACAGGGAAAGAAAATTTCAGCTTCAGTGAATAGAAATCCAAACCAATCTTCAGAGCTGTACAACTGCTTGTGAAAAATGCTTTCACATATTTTAATGCTACGGGTTTATTTCATCACTTTTAAAACCAAAGATTGGAGAGCAGATTTTGCATGCCTTTAAAAAAAAAAAGTTTTTACTAAAATGGCTCACTTGACTGGTTTGAGATATGCGACGCGTCCGATTATACAGTGCCATGGAATCTCCCTCCCGTGTTCTTTCAATTCGCCATCCCCATGCCAGCATAGTTTTTAGTGATTCTTTGATTGGCCATCGGTAAATTTCTTTCTCCTAGAAGGATGCACATGCAATAATTGCCTTGTTAATTATGTAGCTGTACAGAGCAAAAAATAACTTTTGTCTGGTTATACTGAGATGCAAAGAAATGTACTGATATCAGCCCTTATGGCCCAAGGATACTGCAAAGAAGCAAATAAATCATATAAGATATTAAAAAGTTCATTAATCATTTCAGAGGCAGGTAGAAGAATTCTGGCCCTGCAAGAAGCCAATGTTCACAGGGATAACCATGTTAATGGCATGCTCATATATTAACTCAAAGGTGGAGCAGTAATTGTCAGAGTAATGCAGTGTTTTGCCTGCTACATGAAACAAAAAAGCTATAAACATAGAATCATAAAAAAGTCTATGTTGGAATGGACCTCTGGACACCATCTAGCTCAATCTTCTCTTGGGGTCAGATAAGCTAACCTAATTAGGCTATCGAATATTTGCAGTGCAGGTGTTTTCACCACTTCTCTGGACAACCTATTCCAATGTTTAAGTTGTCAACATAAGACGGATTTTCAGACAGCGTTTATGCTGAAGCAGCTTACACCCATTGCCTCTTGTCCTGTCACTGTACATCCCTTTGAAGAGAATACATCCATCTTCTCTATAAATTGCATTTAGGTACTGAGAGAGCAAGATTACATCCCCGTCAGCTTTCTCTTCTGTAAGCTGAACAAACCCAGTTCCTTCAGCCTTGCTTCATTTATCAAGTTCTCCAGCCTTCTAATTGCCTTCGTGCCCTCTACTGGACACCAGACAAAGCCTAAACCTAAGTCTTCACTAAGCAAGCAGGCATCCCTGTATGAGCTTACTGTAAAAATACACTGGCAATATGACACTTCAGGTTCACCATAAGTTATGCCATGTAAATTTAGCCACGAGAGAAAATAGGCTGAGTGATCTATTTATTGCACAATAAATCCCTTCTATCTCTCTTTGAGATTTTGAGGAAGGCAACAAACACACATTAGCTGACGTACTCTAAATATTTTTTTTAGAAGTGATGGAAACACAAGGTGATATTTTCATAGTGATTGAAGCAATCTTTCAATCACCCTGGATCAAGAATGAACAAATTCCTTACCTTTTCAGATAGTAACTTATATTGTTTCATTAATGGTTGCACTTTCGCAGATTCAGAATATGTTTCACCATATGTCCATCCATTGGCAAACTGAAAACAGTAATAATAAGAGAGGAAAAAATGGGGAAAACCAAAAAATTATGAAAAATCCTATTTTTTTGTTACAAAGGAACTAAACGATGCTTCTGCAGAGCTGTTCTCTTAAAATTTCCTTTCTACTATTTTCTCAACATTTTATCAACCAACATTTATATTAGCTACACATAATGAAATGAATTATGCAGTATGCCATCTTTTTGAAAATCAATGGTTACACAAAGATAATATTTCAATATATTTTTCTTTTAAATATTTATATAGAGCAAAATACTGTGCTACAGTTGAGGAACTGTTTTTAATACTGGACACAAAAATGGCACAAAGGAATAAAAATCCCTAAAGAGGTTTAGTGGTTAAAAAATTGAAATTTCAAGTCAATTAAACTCTTAAACAATTAGCAAGTATATTTACTTGAGAGTCAACAATAAAAATAACGAAATGAAGAAACACTATTGTGAAATACTCATGTACACTTACAGAACTTTCCCCCCAAATACATTTCAAGAAAATACAGGTTTATATCTTACCTACGTACCAATCAAAATAATAATATTCAGTGTAAAATATTCTAAAGATGAAATGGATGCAAATAAAAATTCTGATTTTACTTTAACAGGAATATAGATTTTACCTTTTCCATTGACCATTTGTCATGAGAGTGTTCTGCATATTTGTTAATGAAATATTCCAGCTTTTCAGGGATCGTAATGCTGAAAGTGAAGAGAAAAATAGCCATTATATCACACATGCTGAATTGTGAATGCTTTTGTTTTGAAGAAAACTTTCAAATAAATAATTAGTAGTGCATACATCCATTCAAAGCATCTTTCTGTGCGCTGTTTCCTCACATACAGTTTGCTCTAAGCTCCAATTAAATCAAGAAAAAATCTGAGTTATTTAATGAGCACTGGATGAGAACCACAGCTGTTGTAGGAATTTTACTTCTTCAACACCCATGTGCAGGGAAAAATCTATAATGACACCGAGCACTTGTGCTTTTTGTCACATATTTCATTACTAACATTCATTTTCTTAAGATTAAAGATATAACTATGACCCATAGTTTCAGAAATGCAGTGGTAACTTATCGCATATGCCCATTATAAACTAAGTGTGCTAGCAGTCCTTTTTGAAGCACATCATCAATTTTACATATGCTTGAAGCACTATGACTTACGACAACTCAAAAGTTATATGCTCAATCTTTTATTTTCCAACACCCCAGTGAATATTAAAAATATTAAAATCCTCATTAAAAATAGAAAAAAAATCGACAAATAAATACACTAGACCTTCAACAGGTGTACAAGACAGTGCAGAAGTTCAGGTTTCTTAGGTAGTAAAGGAAAAGCAGCTATGCTTAACTGTCAAACAAGCACTAGAGGCTGAATCCTCTTCCAAATATAATTTATCAAATATCAGTATTTTTCTGCATCTGTATTCCTATAAATGAAAGGGAATAATTGCTTCTTGGTTACTTATGAAATAGCAAAATATTCTGTCCTAGGACAAAGAATTTTGGCAGCAGAAGTGTCACAGTGCCATCTACTGCAAAGTAGAAGACTCTGGTTTTTAATCTTCAGTCACAAGTTGGGAAAAAGCAGAAATGTAAAACAAAATTATGTCAGAGAAACAGTTTGCAGAAGCCTAACCACACACAAAGGTCAGAAAATGTTCATCCAGCATGGTAATCAGTTCTTTAATTGTTTGGAAGTGTGTATTTCAAGGAGAAATCTAGTAACGGTATAATACTTTGAATAATTTCAGAAATGCAATAAATTGACAAGTACAATAAGGTCATATTACCTATAGCTTTATATAAATAGGCCTAGGACTAGTAAGCAATGTGATACAGGATTTGCATGTTGAAAGAATATAGGATAGGTTGGAAGTGACACTGACAGTAGTAGTGCTTTCCTTGTCGTGAATCATCACAGAACGGTTGACTCCTATAGCAATGGGGTGACCGATGATTTAGGTAATAATAAGTAAAATTTTGTGAATTTTTCAAATATATTCTGGCTATCTACAGTTTTCCTCTGCAATGACACCAGATAAAGTTATCTTCGATTATACAAATGATAGTATAAAACCTTACTAAATTTTGTTAAACCTTCATATATCTTAAATACATCTTAGACAAATGAATTTTAATGGTCACTGATGTGATTTCTATATTCCAGCCTAGATTACAGCTTCTACTACCATATTTTGATGTGCATACATGTACAAGCACGCTGTAACAAAGGTATCAATCTACTGGTGCCATTCTGTGTTCTGAATGTTAATACAGATAGAAAGCTCACAAAGGCAATTGAAACTAATGTCTTACAAGTGGCGTTTTTCAAGATATACTGCATAATCACACTGCCATAAGACTATTCCATACAAAGGAGAATGGGGCTCTGGCTCTAGTCAAAAAAATCCCATTCAGATATGTGTCTTGTCTGGCTAATGTACTCAAAAAAAGCATGGTCAAAGTCTGACTGCCTAGAGAGAATGAAAATCTTTATGCTCTATTCCCCATTAGTCATACTAAAAAGAGATTATATGAATGATGATTGTCATCATTTTCTGTAGGTACGCTGTCATTCGCATGCACCAGAATTAGCATCTTAGCACATGTTAATAACGACAGGGATGATGTAGACTCATCTACTTTTTGCTCCTGAAAACATGCTAGTTTGTTTACAGCAGACATACAAAGGTAACTGGGCAGTTCTACCTTCAGGCTGAAAATGCATTAACAATGTTCTAGGTTGACCAAGAAATTAGTTACATAATTGGATATTTATTGGTTTATATTATTTAAAATAAATTCGTAAATAAAAATTAAAAATATAAAATTAAGGTGTCCATTTTATCTAGAAGATAAATATTCAGATGAGAATAAAAGCTGCAAGTTCACATCATACCCAACAACAGACCATCCCACTTTTACACATTCATGATTAAAAAACCCAACAAACTAGTTGTAACAAAATAATTCCTTACTTTGATGTATCAACAGGTTGAGGATTAAAGTTCCCATCTGAATCCATTGAAGATTGTTTTTCCATCATATTCACATAATTTGATTCCATATAGTCTGGAGGTAAGGCCCCTGCAACTGCGCTCAAACAAGGCAAAGCCAATTTGAACAGTTCTTGTTCATACTTCTGGGGAACACACAGGGGATAGAAAGTGAGTAGTGAATGGAAGCTATCAACATCACTGCTGAAACTGATATAGCTATATGTGAAACCAAGCAGCCACAGAATGGCTTTCTTACTCAGAGTGAAATTGAACTTTTGTTCTGAAAATAAAGGAAACTGACTGCCCAAAGCATATCATACACTATAGATAAAGTTGGGATCAAGTCTTGCTCTTGCTGAAGTAAATGGGAAAAGTATTGCCTTCACTGGGATCAACATCAGGCATTTTTCAGATGTCTGGGAACAGAACATAGCACAGGAATATCCATAGCTAAAAATCTAAATTTGAAAAGAAACTCATGACAATTTAAGCAAGTTCGTTAAAAAAATTCACAGAATGAACAATAAATGCATGCCAAGGTGTATTATTAAACTTTTGTCCAACACAGATTGATTCAAGGGTGATGAAAATACAACTGCTAAGGCAAAGGATTATGCTCTTGGTTTAAGGAAGGATAGCGTGTGAGGTAGAAAAGTGCAGCTTTCAGTCCCCTGCAGATGCTTGTATTTAGATGCTTTTAGGGCTCTGAAGTGTAGTTGACTTGTACAGATACACCTCACTATTACTTCATTAGCTATATAATTTTTTTAATGAGCAGACAAAATGCTAGATTAAAGCAGAAGCTATAAGAGGAAGATTTAAATTTACTAAAGCCTATATTTTCCCCTTTAAGTGGATAATACGGTGTTGATAAAAGCTCAGTAAAAACAACAGATTACATTAAAAAAGTTACACAGTAAGGCTTTTACATGAGTAGATGGATATTACAATGAATTACCTTTTGAGACAAAGCATCAAAAATACCCCAGAACAACTTTCTGGATAAATGAAGTTCTTCTTCTGATGCAGCACCAAAGTTACCCCATCCACCTGGCAAACAATAATACTTCCAGCATCTTTCGTAATGATTTGTCAGCAACTAAAACAGAACATATTTTGAAAGCAAATAAAATATAACTGTTGATGTTCTGCCATTCTGGCACTCAACCATTACACAGACACTGCCAGAAAAATTTCTAACTTTTATCAAGAACCCATGGAGCTTTATCATCTCTCCCTCTCTCATTAAACACATATTTCAGGGATACTTTCTTCTTAAGTGGTTGCAAGATTCCACATTATCAGGGACTCAAATGGTGCAAGGACCTGCTACTGGGTATTCTCCAAACTAAAACATCACAAGGTTTTTGCTTAATGTGTCCTCTATGTCCCTGAGTCACAGACAAGAAGAGAAAAAATTAGTTGTACATCTGTCAGTAAAGGCAGTCCCAAACAAAAAATGGCAAAAGTATGAAAACCTAGTCCTACTCATGGGGAAATTTTCCTAAGGCACAGAATGATCTTTCTAAAAAAATGAGCTGGAATTTTAATTCAGAGTTTATTTTAACAGTTCCTCAGAGAAAAAGAGAATTGTTTCAACACCACTTTGCAAAGAGTGTTGGCAAAGTATTACAAGTCACAGTCAGTAAAGAGTTGACAGGATTCTCTTGTTTTTCCAGTCAGAACAAATGCAAAGATGGAAAAATGCAGATATTCATAATGTTAATGTACACAAATACAGACAGACTTAAAAAAAAAAAAAGTCCTGATGTGTAGAATTGAGGATTTTGATACCCAAAAATATAACGTTCTGTTATACTTTTCATGCATCAGAAAAAAAACAACAATCCCTATAATGTATTTGTACTACTATGTACTATTTGTACTACCTGTTTGCTAGCACAAGCCCATAAGGAATAGGCATGGTACTTTCAACTCAGAAACACATTAGTAGATATAAGTAGGAGTCCCTTGTTAAATCACTGAAAATCAGTTTACTGTCAGTGAAACCTTTAGGAAGTTCTAGTTCTATCTTCAGATAAAGAGCTCACTTCCCTCAGAAACTCCTATTACTTGTTTAGGTGTCAATGGATGAAATAATTTGCCCATGTGAACGCTGTGGTTCTCTTCGTATCAATAGTCACCCAAAGCCCAACTTGCCAAAAGGATCAAAATGTTATTTCCTTCCTGTTCAGTTCAGCAGTATGGGAAAGTCACTGCAGTTGTGACCGTCAGGATCAAAAAATCTGCTGTCCTAGATGAACAGATCTCAGGGAGCTGGGGTTGTTCTTTCCCTCAAAAAACCTGAAGGACTATAGCCACGCAGGGAACACTAAGTTAGTATTTGCTTTTTGCAGCACATAGAATGTCATAATGCACTAGAAAGGTCCCCTTCAGGGCAGTATACTAAATTATCAATTGCTTTCCTCACACATAGGTACTAAAGAATGGCTGCTCTGGCATCTTTAGTTTGATTGAGCACTTCCTGGGGGATACAAACCAATGATGAAGTCCTTGGCAGGGAAAAGACCATGCAGCAGGTCCCAGCTTTGAGACTAACAATCTAAACTTCTCATCTGAGGTCAGAGACCATAATCTGGCTAGTAGAAGCCTGCATAATTCTGAGGAGTATTTTGGCATAGAAATCAGATGTAAAATGCCATTAGTCATGATATGTCATCACTTGTAAAGTATAAAGAAATACTAAATAGGAAAAGATTAAATATCTTGTTCAAAGTTGTGGTAGGAAAGCATTAAAAAGGATTGCTGAAAAACAGCAGTAGGTAAGGTGGGAAATTATATGTTTCTTGTCAATGAAATCTGAGGAATCTTTAAGGAATGCGTCACCTCAGAAAGGAAAAAACACATTTCTTCTTGTGCATTAGGAATGGGAATCAAAAGATATGGAGAAGCCTTTGGTAACTGAAAACAAAATGGAAGATTATTAAAAAACATGTATTGCTTAGATTTCCAAGCACAAACCACCGAAAAAGAGTCCGTTTTTCCAAAAGCAGGGAAAACCAACACAGAGGGCAGAAGTAGGGGTACATACAGACTATCAGTTGCCATCTTCCTTTGGGCACTGGATTCTGCCCCCTGCCCCCAAGGGGTTTTCTATTCTGTTTCCACAAGGGCTTAAAAAAAAATGATAATAAAAGAGAAGCAAACATTAGACATAGACTTCATAATTCCATTTGAATGGATGTAAATTAGACTGAATTCCTGCCGAAGCAGCAATTTAAGAACTATTGTCTTACATTATTGCAGAGTGGAGATAAGGTAACAAAGAAGATAGAGAACATTCTCCATGCAAGTATTTTCTGTCACGCTTTGTTATGAGGAAAGCTGTTGAATATTAAAATATACTTTTACCTTGAGAGGCATCTTTGCATGTTCATTTAATAGAGGAACATCAAATACTAATCTTCTCAGCAAATGCTGCATCATGGAAGGCCGCAACTGCCTGAAAGCAGACAAACCATTTCAAAAGGGTGTACCAGCATAGTTTCATGTAAATAATTAATAAATTCATTAAAGCAACCTGTCAGTTCTATCCCATTAAAATTCTCATAAAGTAATCGGATTTTGCTTCTGGGTCCAAAAAAAAAGTGTCCAAAAGAAAGCAAACAACTGCATACCAAAGAAAACCTGAACCAGCTGCAAATCAATTGCTTTAAAGAAGCAGAGTAATTATCTGATCTATAGACAGAGAAAATCAGGAAAAAAAATACTGAATTTTGATACCGTGTATTATGACCACCATGCCCATGAGAAAAGGCTATAACATTAATTTCTTGTAATAGATCTCAATGGCTCTTAAAAATACCCTAGAAACTAATAAAGGTATAAGAGCACTAACTCTTTAGATTTACTAAACAAGATATGTAGCAGTGGACACCAACTGGAAGGATAGATGAAATAGGCATAGCATGTATGTTAGAATGGCATGGACATTAAACTTTTTCAGATAAATAGCAAACAGTGGTCAATTCTATTGGTTCTTATCAAGGTAATATATATATATAAAATGGTCAATGTGATATATTTTATAAAGAAATGCTACACTATAATAAAATATAATATAAAAGTCTGTCATTTCTGAACACACTTGCACATTACGCAAAAAAAATTATGGTGAAATATTCAAAAAAGCTCTGGTGATTTGAAAGCCTAAATGTTGCTAACTTTAATTAGAAATTGAATCTGTATGGCTAAAAGTATGTAAATTGCACTTCAGTGTGTGCACAATTCCACATTTCCAGAGCTTTATCTTTTTGCAGTACATCCTCTTAGTTAATCGCAAAGATTTTAATTTTAAAATCTTAGTAAAAGCAAAATAACTGAGGGCTGCATATGAGTGAGCAATAACGTTGCAAACTGAATACAGCATACTTAAAATTATCACAGTCATCTGCCAGGAAGAAAAAAAAAATTAATTATGCTACTGGTGGCACAGTTCTGCATTCCTGTATTATAAACATCAGAAGTTACTTTATCAATTAGCATCTCTGTACAGCCAGGAATATTTTCTTACCCACAGATAGACAGTAAACACTCTTCAATAGAATCTCGCTGAGCTTTGGTAAGAGAGCATCCCTTTGAGAGTCTGTACACAGTATGTAATAAGGAATCGATGAGGGAAGCATGGTGCTCTGTGCCAGCAAAAAGAGGAGCACATCTGGTCAACAGAGGCAAGACTGCTGTGCAAAGGTATCGATTCAGAGCCAAAGCCATATCCGTAGCACTTAAAGCAGCCTATGAATTAAATGGGACAGAAATTAGATTTGTCTCATGAATGTTGTTACAAATTAAAAGAACTTGCCTGTTTTTCTTCTGTAGTGGTTATAAAGAGGGAAATTTCCAAAACACACAAATAAGGATTTGATACCTACTGGAAGCTGGATGCCTAGCTTCTTTTCCTGCTTCTGAAGTCTCACAGATGGTTTGGTTTTGTTTTGTTTTTAATGAACGAAAACATAAACACTAAAGGTAGCCATTCAAAACCAAAAGTATTTTTAAGACTATATTAAAGAATGTCATAGTTGCTTAACAGAACACTCCAAAATCAGGTAACACCAGTCAAGTCTGCATTTACAAAACTCAGTATGTTTCTGTGTTACGATCAAGCCCAAGTTCCAAGTGAGGAAAAAATCCTCACCTGCTCTTTCTTAAACAACCACCTAATTACTTTCAGCAAAATGTTGACATAAAAGGTCAAATAGGGAAATCAAAGTCCCTGTCTTAGGCCTCATATAAGTTCTCTAAATCTGATGTTTCTGGACCAAGCCAGCTAATAAAAATTAGATAGAAATAAGACTCAGAAAAAAAGACAGCAATTTCAAGGAGGAACTAAACAAAAATTTAGACACTTCCTAAATAACAATGTAGGTGTCCTAAATAACAATGTAGGTGTCCCTAACAAGTGCATGAAGACAGTGTTCTGCATATAGAACACTCTGTATATCTCTGGAAAGAGGGTCTCGGTTACACGCTTCATTTGCAGCTTATCTGATTTTGATTCCATAGCACAAGCTCAGAACGTCTCCTGGGGAAAGGCATTGCATGTCTTATGCATATGGGTATCAGTGGGGGCTCTTATAAAGTGAACATCATTCTGGAGAATTCTTCTTCACTGTTCTTCAAGTATTCTCAAAGCTCAGCAGAAACACACAGCTCATCCAGCATTTAAGAAGTGCAGAAGACAACATGAAGAAATAAAACATAGGGGTTTTGAGGGATGAAAAATGCTGCAGTGTTCAGTAAGATAACAGAACTGAAATACCAACAGACTTAAACCCTCACCGTATCTAAAGAAGCAGCAGCACGAAGATCTGGCAGAAAGCCAACTTCGAGAAGGTGTAGAAGAAAATCCTGGTCCTCAATTCCATAGACCCTGTCAAGGAACAAAACCATGGCTGCCTTGTGATCTGGGCAAAACCCCGCAGACATGTCAGGTTCCACCACAGTACCATCTAAAAGGAAGAAATAAGACTTCAGTGACAAGGATCATTCTTCACCAGCAGACTAGGCAGTCATATTACTACTCATCATAGGTTTTGAGTCTCTGACAACAGCTAAGCATCTTCCCATGGTTTTGTTCCACAAAGGCAACATATTTGCAGTTAACTGAAAAAGAATGCATAAGGCAAGTTCTACCCAGACAGACCTCAAAGTCTGTTCTGTTCATGCTTTGTGTATTAAGGGATTCTTATCAGTTGATATTCTGATAAGTACCCAAAACATACCAATTCATCTACAGAACTACCTAGTTCTTAGAAGCAGCAGACAGAAAGTAAAAAATACAATTCTACATCAAACACTCCAGGAATGCAGCACTGGCGAGCATATCTGTAATGTATGACAATGAACTAAGATTGTGCTAAAAATTCCTCTGTATCTGAAAACCTCTGAAGTATCTGAAAGGAATTCATTGCAATATTTTTAAATTTTGATACTTTCGTTTTCAAAACCAAACAAACAATTCTGTATCTATGAGCTGTACTCTATGCTACCGAGATATCACTTAGAGATCTATCACTATTTGGAATATCAATAAATAATGGTGTTATAAAATGATTGAACTTTTTCTCTCTTCTACTGTAACCTATCAGACATTCTTGAGCTGTAAGTCCCTAGAAAATCCATGTTGCAATTATAATGTTATCTCTCCAGATGATACCCAAAAAAGCAGATTCCTTTGCCTTTTATATTGATGCTCACATAGCTCCCACTATTGCAATCAATTTTATGTAGGCAAAAAACACAAAGAAATGCATTTGCATATGTATGTCACACCTATAACTTCACCATAGTTGCTGAAGAACAACTCTGGTGTCTTAGTAAGATCTGCTAGAAACAATTGATAGGGTTAGAACAGCAAAAGCTAAGGATTATGTTATCAAGAAAAAAGACTGTTGTTTTTTAAAATATTTTAGAAAAATAGAAAGTATGCATTTTAAAATTTCTTTTTAGAGTTGTAATAGATTTTCAAGATTCAATTTAAATGAATGGGATTTACATCAGTGATTTAAGTGTACACAGAATTATTGCCTATAGCATGCAGAAAATTTTTTGAAACATGTTTGAAATATACATGATTTCTCTTCTAATTCACATAATAAATAGTTTAATTTCTATAACATTTTTAAATACTGAGAGAAGCATGAGTATCAGTATGTTGTTAAATTACAAAACATAAGAATGGGATGGGAGAAAAAAGTAGAATAATCATCTTACCTTTAGCTATGGTTGGCATGTGAAAAGGAATACTAATTACTCCCACCAAATCTTCCAGTGGAATCAAAGACCGTAGAATTGATCTGATTCTAATGGCTTCCCCTTTACCAGCATGGATTAACTAATGAAAAGACAAATAAGAAATTAACAAGGTCATGTTTTTACCTTCTATATGTGTTCATGTTCTGGAAACTTCCTAAACCATAGATACACAAGAATGACTGATCTCAAAATTGCATTATAATTAATAATGTAAATTTCACACAATCTGTATTTATTTGCTATGTTTTGGCTGCAAACATGCAAAGTCTAGAAATCTAGATGTGTTGTTATTAAATAAGACTAAGCCCATTTTCAGAATGGAATGTTAGGCAAAATACGTGAGCAAAGCATTAAATGTAGCACATGGCGGGGGGGGGGAGCAAAAGCAGATTTTCAGATGAAAAATGCCATTTTTTATTTCCTGCCAAATAATAACACTTTCAGGTATTCCAATTGTTTTAGTTTTGTTTTTAAAAAGTCAGCAAGACAGGGAGAAAACAAGACAATTTTCTTATTCAAACAAGATATTTATACACTGACCTTAGCAGATACCTCTCTCAAGTTATTGATCTCTGCACAAATCTGATACTGATCTACCTGAATTAGGGCACATTTCGGGGTGAAATAAGAAACTATGCATAACTAAGTAGAATTTCTGAAGAACAGGAAGGTATTTTGAATTGTAAACCACAAATATTTTCAAATTTTTTCAAGCTTTTAGGAACTAACTGGTAAGGGACTGGGTTTTATAGTGTGAGTGTCTAATTCTTTGTATCTAATGCCTGAAATAGTGACATCTTACCTTTTAAAAAGTTTTTCACTGTGAATGAAGATTATGAAATATCAATATGTATGTCCAGGGACAATACTTATTCATACATTTTAAAAGAATGCCCTATAACATTTACTCTTTCATACGCAATTTAAACAGTCTGTTTAAATAAGTATATGAAGAGAGTAAAACTATGGTTTAAAATTAAAAAAAAAAAAAAACATAAAAAAAATCACTCTACATCATCCCAGTAAATAGGGAAATTTGAGGACTCCGATTGTCACAATGAACAATCAAACAATATTAATGACAGAATATTGTTGAAGACTGACCAGAGAACAGTAATAAGAAAAGCAATGGAATAATTCCTTTAAAAAGAACAGCTTCTGAATAGTTTACTGAAATTCCTTGCAAATTAGTAGATGACCATGTTATGTAAATTAAGATACTATGTAGCTATACCACTGCTTTAATACTTGATAATGTGCTACTGTGAAAAAGCCAAACAGGAAATCACTAAACAATCAGTAAACCAACTATGCCTTTACTTTCCAATGCATGAAGACATAAAACTTACATGCATTTCAGGGGCACAACGTCCTAAGAGATCAATCAAAGCAGCATAAAAGGTCATGATTGCATTTCCCATGTGAATAGTGTCATCTTCTTGTTCTTCCATTTCACTGTAATTAGTTAAATGTTAAAACAATTAAAAGATGAAAATAATACAGGAAAGCTGTTACATCACCAATAAAGAAAGAAAATCTGCTCATAGGTATAACAGCTTACACATAGTGGCTTCCTGTTAACTATGGACTTTTAGCAGAATAACACAGAATGGAATTTGTACCTGAAAGATTGTAGTGACATCTGCACTGCTACCATTTATGTGTCTCATTTTGCATCAGGGGATTGATTCTTAACCAACTGACAAAGAACAAAAAACCCCAGAATTCTAAAGAAGATTTAATATTTAGAGAGTGTTACTTAAATTAACAGTGCAGAGGAAGCACTATTTCGTAGAAGACAAATCTCTACCCTTCATACAATCCAAGGAACAATGCAGGTGATAATTCACATTAAAACAAACAAGTCATTTCACCACTGAGATTATAAAACAAATAAACAAAAATGATGGCAACGTAAGCAATTCCACTGCACCTACAGGGTTTTACTAGATCCATTACTTGGGGAAGGTCCATCCCTTGTTGGATCTTCTGATATTTGTATTGCTTCCTCCATGGCCGCAAGTAACCCATTGCCTCCTTCTCCTCTTAGAGCTGGACCAAAGCATTCAGGTCGACGGATAAGCAATCTGACTACAACATTAGCATTCTCCTCCACACTCTCTCCTACCACACAGAACAAATATCAAGACTTAAGATTATATCAAAAAAACTTTTGAAATACAATCAGAAAAAGGTACACAAAAGTGCGGAACATATGCATCAGTAGATAGTTTTAACTACAAAACAGTTTAAATATCATGACAAAGTTACATAAATACACAAACATACTCCTCTATTATTGTAATAAAAGCTACAAAATAAAACATTTATTTTAATTCAAAATTAAATACAGCCAGAGAAGTAACTATGTAATAAAGGATGTTTAAAGCATCACTGAAGCTACTCATTTGTAGTAAAGACTTACATTCAAGGAAGACAGTTAATGAGGGGACAAGTACAGCTGCTAAACATTAAATTTGGACTATTGATATCTTCATGAAAAGACAGGGGTTTGGCTTTATGTCTAGCATAAGTTTTATCATAAAGAGATTTAGGACACTCTGCTCTACTTCCAAAGGAGATGTGGGCATTTCAAAGACTAAAGATGGATCTAATAAATGGGGGATAGGCTCATTGTACTCTATATGACTTGTGAAATAGGCATCTAAGTTACTGTGTGTCTTGCATAATTCTATTCTTTCTGCAAATTGTCCTTTAAATTTACAGTACCATATCAATTGGTTTGTATTGCTATTTTAAATGACAAATTTATTTGAACATTAGAAGAAGGTATAAAATTTATAGGCTTATACTCTACCATTGCAAAATACGGCAAAACGAAGGAAATCTAAATATCGCTCTCCTTCAACTGGATTCCATCCAATGTCGGGGTAGCCTTTAGAAATCAACAATGGACAACTCTGCAATCCACATCCAGCTAAGTAGCGAACTACCTAAAAGCAACGTAAGATGAAAAAGAAATTAATTGTGAAAAAGAAGAGAAGTGCAGTTTCAAAGGGAAGCACCCTCATACGTTGTCTCGGACATGGTGTCCACATTCTGTTATCCCCAACAAAACCATATCATACTTTGGGCAAATCAGAAAAGCAGCCTCTTTCTTAGTTCACTTTCCCAGTCTTATACTGCTTCTACCATGTACTACACAAGCTTACTTATCTCAATTCCATTTTTCCTCTAAACCACTTCTTTGCTGTCTATATTTCATTTCTCTTGCAACCCTGAGCGTTACAAATTAGTCAATTTTGTAATATTCGCGGACCACACACTATCCATATTTCAAAACATACCTTCTAATATAACTCACAGGACTACTTTTTTATTTTAACCTTTCCTTTTCACTTGTGTTTTTTTCTTCCTTTCTTTTTAAACGCACAGCAGTAACACTCTCTGCAATTCAGACCTATAGTCTCGGTAGTAGTTTTAAGTTGGCCCTCTCCTATCTGAATTGTAAGAATTGTAAGCATAGTCTTTAATCAGTTCAGATAGCTTTCTTTTGCTGACTATAAGAATGATAAGTCTGAAAATGTCCTTTTAAACACACATGGTCCATCTTCCTATTCCAATAAAGGTTCTACACTTATATTATTCCTGACATGCTTTGCTACGAAGGTTATAGCATCTCCAGAATTGGAGGTCTTCAAGAACAAATTGAACAATGTATTCTACTGTCTTACTTTCCATTAGAAAGTGGTTTTTAATGTCTACCTTGAATCTGTCCTTCCATTATTTAAGCCGCTTTTCTTATCCACTACTGACGTAGTAACCATTATTCTATTCCTTCTATTCCAGCAGCAATTTACATATTCTACACAATTCTCACATGCTCTCTTGAGGTTTTTATTCTCTAGTTTAATTAATCCCAATTCCTTCCACCTTTTCTGAAGCAGATTTAAATGTTAGGGAAAAATACAGATAGATATAGATAGATATCTCTACAAAATTTGTCATATATTGTAACAAGTTGTCACAAGGCTTCTACTAATCCCTATTGAATTATTCCACCACTGTAGGTCACCGTCAAGACAGAAAAACAAAGAAAGCTTTTAGCAATACAGTTTTGTTGGGTATGGACTCCACTATTCCCAAAGTAAGAGCTGCCCTCGAGGCAATTCCTTTTGGTTACACCTGTGTATGTAATAACCATAAACTCAGTTCAACTATCTGGACAACCAACAGGAAGAACAAACAATCAGATCCTGTTAGTCTTCCTCTGAAAGGTACACAAAATTCCCATATAATTCTTATAATCTTGAGTTTTGATTACTCCAGGAAACAGGAATCTTCCCCTCTCTACAGGGAAAAAAAATGCGTGATAAAGAAGCTACCAACCTTCTCCAGATCAGGTTCCCTTAAAGCTAGTGCAAGTTCATTGTTATCCATCACAGAGGCTGCTGCAACATCTAAAGGAGTTGATCCTCGCATAGAAGGAGAGGCTGTTAAAATAACATTTCAACACCAAATTAATAAAACCCAACAAAGTCACAGGAAATACATTAACATTTTTTTTAATAAAAGACAACATTTTGTCATTAGTTAGCACATGATTATAAACATATCATTTATGCCATTCAGTTTATTATAAAGCATCATGCACTCGCATGAAATTTGACATTGACATTAAATCAAAATACAATGTAGATGTTCAAGCTAGAAATAACTTTTCTTACACATTTCTATTCTTATCATATACTTTGTTTTAAGATCTCTTTCTTTCTAATTTTTCTAACTGACACACCTTCATTTTGAGGAAAAAGTAGTGGGGATTTTCTATCTAAACCACTGACATTTTATCAAATGTATTGAAATAGAAATTATCTTTAAGGCTTAAAATATAAGATTTATGTTATCTATATCTTTAAAAAATGGCAGTCATTATAGCATTAGAAAAAGCTAAGGTTTTCATATTAACACTCCAAATGCATTTCATTTGAGGACTTTCTCTCCAAAAAGAATTTTAGTTTATGCTTCTGTCCTGTACCTATACATTAATAAGGAAATTGTGATCATTTAAAAAAATTCCTGTGATTATTCTAAATGCTTATATATTCTCAATTACAAGTACTAAATTAGATAAAGGATAAATTTATCGCCTCTATAGCACTTCAGCCTAGAAAAGAAAGGCTAACATTTTAAGAAAACTTCATGGTTCATTTCTGGGCATCTATACACGCATACCCAAGCAAATGAACTCTGTATTTCTCCCACTGTCATAGGTGTATACTGAACAGTCTACAGAGGAAAGTGCAGGGGAGCAAGCTTGAGCAGCAAGAAGTAAGCCCTAATGAAACGCTGCCAAACTTATTTATGATTCTCTTCATCAAAATCAGGATTTTATCCCATTTCTTAAAATGTGCAACTAAACACTGACTCTCTCTTAATGTCCAGGCACATACATAAAAGCATATACTAAATTACCTCAACTTAATGCTACTGTCAAGAGTTTGTTTGGAGTTAGCAATACAGTTAATCAAAATATTTTTGCACTAGGTAAAGGAGAAACTTGAACACAAACAGAGGGAAAAACACAGGTGGTTTTATATATATATTATAGAGATTTTATAAAAGCAGAAAGTGTTAAGATTTTGGTTTAGATTCTCAAGAGCCACACACTTACCAAGGCCAACACTGCTGTTTTCCAATAAATAGCTAAGATGATCAAACATAGCTTTTTGATTCTGCCTGCTGATGCGGCAAAAATAACACAGAAAGCGGCAACAGTTTGCCACCATCTTTGGGAAAGTGATTTCCTAAGAAGCAAATAAAAAAACAAACTGAAGCTCAAACTCTAAGACAGGCATAAAACTTGCAAAAGATCGTTTATGTAACAGCCTTTTAAGACACTAATATTTATGCATTGTATTCACCGCATCTCAGTGAAATTAACTATTCGGGTTTCACCATGGAATCAACAGGGCTTTCTAAGCAAGTAAATAACTCCTTAACCCCCAAAGATCAAGGTATAAGCCTGAAAAACAAGCACTGGGATCACCCATAAATTCTAGATTCAAACATGAAAGAATGTGAATGCACAGATTCACAGAGTAATACTGCATTGATTTTTTATTAGTTTCTAAAAAGATCTCCCCTTTAAAACCCACTAAGCATATAAAGTGCGATTTACAGTTTTTCTTTAAAGCATCTGAAAATACAATGCTAATTATATCTTCCTCCAGAATGGAAGGACAGATTCTTCTAAAAACTTAGTCAATTATTGTGCTAATGGAAATTAGTAAGAGGTTGTGGTCTCAGTACTTCCAGTGACTGCTCAGTGCCTTACAGGATAAAGCTTTGAACAGCTATATAGTAAACTCTCTGTCTTCTAACAGTGAATTGCTTTACCTTGGATTCTCCTCCACCAAGCACATTTACCATCACTTCCATGACAGTTTCATGCATGCCTAAAGCTCTCATGAGATTTGGATGTTGGTAAAATACTTTATTATTCATGATGTCTCTACAGGAAAACAAAATTAAAAAATGGATTAAGATGTTGTGGACCAATAGTTTACCTATTATGCTATTTGCAAAGCTGATTTACTGTGCAATTCTTCACCATCTGAGGTGAAAAATTACCTCAGGGACTTTTTAAGGTTGAGTCTCATCTCTCCTGATAGTCTATTTTTTTTTATGCACATTGTGGAAGAACCTGACCTTTCTTTTCCCATATTTTAGTTATTGCCCTAATCACCACTTGATTACACCAGAGTAGGATGCTTTTCTATTTTCATTAGAAATTCGATTCCAGATCTAAAATTATTTTCTGACAAGAGTATGATTAAAACTGCTATATTAGCTTAAATTTTAAATTCAACTATTCCATATTTTGACAAACCATTTTTTTTCAGAATATTTCAACCTTGAGACATTTGACATCTGCCATCAAAACCAAGAAGAAACAATTGTAGAGGAAAGAGAATGTATATCCAGCTATCCTCTAAGCATCAGAAACAGAAGGTGCATAAATATTAACCTTAGTTCATGAGTTACTGCTCAGAAGAACTCTTCTACATATTTCAGTAGAACAGATTTACATATTTTAAAATCAGTCCTGAAGATTATAATGTCAATATTTTATGCAGACATGTTGTGTCCAATAAAAATGTCTGGTTTAAAAATTAATTCAATTTCTAAAAACAGTAATTAGTCTTGAAATCACACACAACCCATAAAGCAATCAGGTCATGCAAAAAAAGGATGAGCAAGTCACTATAGAAAATACTGTTGACAACTGTTCAAATTTCATTGTATGTTTTATAGCAGTCTTTTTTTTTCTGACCTAAAACTCCTGCAATCAGGCAAGGAAAATTTCAGCCTTATAAAAGATGAGATGTGAAGAGAACTGTTCCATCACTCTAAAAGCTACAAATTCACAACTCTCAGTCATGCAACAGAATGCATGCAGCATGTCTGATGTAGGTGGCACTATCAGAGTTTCTGACTCCCAGTAACTCCCGGAAAGAATAGCTGATCTTTTTCCCCCAAAGCCTACAACCGGACTTTGTATCAGTGATGACAGAGGATAGGCCCTGCCTCCAGAAGCTATCCATACCACATCTCCTTTCTGCATTAATGCTTGATGTTGTGGAAAAAGACCTCGAAGGTATCAATCTGCTTAGTCATTCTAAACTCTTATTTGTCTACAGCAGCTTCCTTTTACAGAAATACAGTACAGAAAGTCAAAAGGTCACCTCAGGGGCTGGCCAGCAATATTACACTACTTCAGAAAATACATCTACTTTTAATCATATAATTAGGAAAAATAAGACTGGGTGAACTACTTCACAGTTCAAATAGTACCAACTACATTCAGTGCAATAAAAAGATGGCATATGTACAGACACATGGAGACATAACTCCACTAGCTGACTGGGGGTGTGTGGGGGGGGATTGTACGTGCCAACAGCTAACAGTCACCGCGTTCATATAAAATGGACGATATTCCTGATAGGATTTTTCACAGCCATACTTTTAAGATATGGTAACAAGATATATTTTTTAATATCATAAAACACTACATACATGTTTTCAACTTTTCTCATAGAAGTCTTACAGATGACATTTACTTCTCTCCAAAAATTATACGTATAATGCTGCAAAGGCTGTATCTTACAACTGAAGATACTAAACTGATACCAGTGCCTGCATTTACACCCATATAGACTAATAACAGTCAAACTTCATGTATAACCTTGGCCATAACCATAGAGCAAATAACAACAAATATCTGTAAATAAAGAGATGTTACACTCCAGTTATTTACCCTAATCCACGAATCATAAGTTTCTCTTCCTCCTTCCCCATTCTGACACTAAGCAAGGAACGGATTTGGCCGAGGGATGCCAGAAGATTGATTGTGTCTTCCACAGACACACTATTTATGGTGTAGGTCTTTGGTAGGGCTCGAACCAGGCCACCAATACCATCATATTGGCGATGTAGCAATACAAACATGGCCCTCACTAATTCCGGGTCTTCTATCACTGATTCCTGGGCCCAGCGTACCATTGTGTCTGAAATCAACTGTTGAAGAGTAGCTGTGAAGAAAATACATAAATCACAATATTAATGGCTCATCTACCTGCTGGTAGTCCCTCAGAACTACCATTATGTAACATGAATTGGAATGAATTCAATTCTTAACAAGCACCTTTGTCTTGGTATTTCTTTAGCAGACTGTTGAAGAAAAATAAAACCACACAAGACAAGCAGGTCAAAAACCAAAAGCCTGTATATTTAAAATTAAAATACAGGAAATAAATCTGGTAACATAAAAAATTATGAAGACATACAAGATGCACACAAAGCGTTCAGATTTATTTCTATGCATTGCTTTTAAGAGTTTTCCAGGAATGCAGCTCTGAGGATTTTTCTTACATATTATGAAGACTGGAAAAATATACTGGTAGCACATGTAAATGCTATATTATTTATTTATATGTTTAAGCTCTGTATCCATGCAAAATTTTATAGTGTACAAAACAGAATAATTTAACTTAGTCCTTTGCCAAAATCAAAGGCTCTTCAAAAGGAATAGAAATTAAGAGACTCCAATCAAATAAATGGCAAATCATCATTTGCATATTTTGAATTCAGTCTCTAATGAAGCAAGAAAGCCATATCTGGTAGTCTCACTGACAGTCTTTATTAGTCGGGATATATGTATATATTTGGGAAAGTCCTATTAAAATAGACAAGCTGTATAACGTCAGTTAAGATTTGAGACTAGTGTTTAGAAAAATCACTCGCAAACTACCAGTCAAGACAAAGTATTTGATAAAGATAATTGAATAATGTTCTTTTTCCCATCTCAGGGAACTTCCATTCAGGTTTGCAAGACTTTATCAGATCAATTCAGGATCCTCTTGAGACGTTCTGATAGTTATACACTACAGAACTTCAACTTACCTAACTAATCAATTTATTTCCATGTCAAGCGGATAACAGTGAACGTTTGACAAGGGAAATTTTATAATCTCTCCTGAAGTTCAGTAAACTGCTTAACTGCCAACTGGGTTGACGGTTGGACTTGATGATCTTAGAGGTCTTTTCCAACCTTAATGATTCTATGATTCTATTCTATAAATATCTTGATGTTGAAGAAGCTGGTTGATTCGACCAAACAAAAAAAAATTTCAAATTAGAAATCTATGTGTTGAGACAGCAACATGATTTTGGAGTAAACCAGATGCAATTTCAAGCAAAACTCAAACAACAACAACAACAAAAAAAAGTAAAAGTACTTAAAGAAAGATATTGAACAGACAGGAGTTTACAGAGAAGAGAATGTTTAACAAAGAAGAGAATTTGTGCTAAGATGTGCTAACACAGGGTAAGGGAAAAAAAGACTGGTATTGTATTTTATTGTTACTGTCCAAACACTGTACCATAAGTGTTTTGACTGTCACACACCATAATATTTTTTAGAATAAGAGCCACTTTAAAAATAAGTAAAAAGATGAAATGTGTTTGGGGTCATATTTCAGGACTGAAATAAATAATAACAACAAGGGACACAACAGTAAGTTTCCTTTGGTTTTTTGTGAAGAATCACATGAGCATGCTGTCATTTGGGTCCTGTTTTGATAACTGCAATACTGCATCCCAATCTGTGGGTCTTGCTGTTATCTTGCTTGTAATGAAGAACTCAAGCAGCCTAGCTACCACAATACTAGCTAATCAGTTTAATATAATACTGTCTTCCTACTAACATAAGAGAGAGAGAAAATTAGATTTTGTAGAGCTTTAAGCTTACTACAAAAAAAATTTACAAAACCATAGGATTCATCACCACATTCTGCATAGACCTAGCATCTAATTATCACTACTTGATAACTGAAATGACAGTTATTAACTGCTAAGCTAGAAGGCACACTTTTAGGAGGACAAAAATATTTCACTAATCTAACACTAATAACTGGCAGCTAGGAAGCCACGTTATTATAAGTACCCTGGGGAAATCTTCTCATCCCATAACTTCAGGCACTTACATTATGCAACCAAGCTAAAAGGCCCATCTCCCTATGAATTCTGTGTAGTCAATGATGGAAATCAAGTTTTTTACCAAAGTCATAACACCTAAACTGTGTGCCCAGAAATTCAT